AAGAGACTCTTAAAAACTGAGAACAAACTGAGGGTTAATGGGAGGTGGGAGGGAGGGGACGGTGGGTGATGGGTATTGAGGAGGGCACCTTTTGGGATGAGCACTGGGTGTTGTATGGAAACCAATTTGACAATAAACTTCATTTATTGGAAAAAAAATGAAAATTTTGGCAGGGAATTAAAAAAAAGAACCAAAATAGAAATGAAAAATACAGTAACCAAAATTGCAGATTATAGTTGAGAATAAAAAAGAACTTTCCAGAAACACTTTCCCTTTTTTGTTGTTGTTGTTTATTTTTATTTATTTTGAGAGAATAAGCAGGGGAGGCGCAGAGAAAGAGGGAGACAGAATCCCAATCAGGCTCCCTCCGATGCAGGGCTTGGACTCATGAACAGTTCAGATCATGACCTGAAGAGAAATCAGGAGTGTAATGCTTAACTGATTGGGGTACCTGGATGGCTCGGTTGGTTAAGTGTCTGACTCTTGGTCTTGGCTCAGGTCGTGATTTCACAGTTCATGAGTTTGAGCCCCGTGTCAGGCCCTGTGCTGACGGCATAGAGCCTGCTTGGGATTCTCTGTCCCTCTCTCTGTCCCTCCTCTGCCTGTGTTTTCTCTCTCTCTCTCTCTCTCTCTCTCTCTAAAAATAGGGAAATAAAATGTTAAAGGTTAAAAAAAAAAATTTAGGGGCGCCTGGGTGGCTCAGTCAGTTAAGCATCCGACTTCAGCTCAGGTCACGATCTCGCGGTCCATGAATTCAAGCCCCGAGTCGGTCTCTGGGCTGATGGCTCAGAGCCTGTAGCCTGCTTCCGATTCTGTGTCTCCCTCTCTGTCTGCCCCTCCCCTGTTCATGCTCTGTCTCTCTCTGTCCCAAAAATAAATAAACATTAAAAAAAATTTAAAAAAAATTTAAATTAAGTAAAATATACTTTATGTAAAGTGGAAATATTATTTTCATAGATCACTGAAAAATAGTTGCTAGTAATAATTTATATGACAGATACAT